TTTATAATTTTATATAACATTATAACAATAATATTTTCAAATTATTTCCTATCACACATTAATGCTTGAGTCAAGGTCCTTTATTCCATGTTACTATTTAGGGTGAGCTTAAGTCGAGGTCGTTTTACTGGAGGCCATCTTTGTTCTATTTGTTCGATTGATTCTGTTTGCATCTAAATAGTGTTGGAAAACTTGCCGCTTGAGTTAAGTTCCTCAGATAATTAGTTTATAAAACTTAAAAAAGACTACACAAATTTGAGAAATAAAGATTCATTTAAAGGATTATGAAAAATTAAAACGTTTTAACAATTAAAATGTTAAAATTTTTTTAAAAATTATTTAAATATTTTTAATAATTTAATGTAAAATAAAAATTTATTAAATATATTTACATAATTTTATAAGAAGTCCAAGCATTTCATATTAATTCACTTTTAACTTATTTTTATCATTGCAAAAAGGAAATTATTCTTACTAGACTATTAGTTACCCTTGGAAGGGGCCATCACATTAGTAGCATACTTAATTCTTATGCACAAGAGGACACTATATGCCTTTTTATTTTCTTCATTATCTACCTCAACAAAGCCAATCACCAACCAAAATGAAGAAGTAAAAGAAAAAGCTAAAAAGGGAAATGATAGAATTAGGGGCGGGCAAAAACCAATTTTGGTTAAAATTAAAACCAATTTTGAATTAACCAAAAAAAATTTTCTTCAATTTTGAGAATTAAAACCGAACCAAAATTTTCAAAAATCGATCAGTTTGATTATTAATAAAATCGGTTTGGTTTCAATTTTAACCAAATAAACATTAATTAGTTTTTTTTTCGATAATAGATTATATTTCATGTAATATTTTATCATATTTTGTCATATTTAACTGAATTTTGGTTTTCAAGTGGCTCTTTTTGGTTTTCGATTTGTAAAAACTTAAACTAAAACCAAATCAAAATTTATTTGATTAATATCAAAATCAAAACAGTAACACTCAAAAACCATTGAAACTAAACTAAAATTATTTTTTTGGTTCAATTTCTGAGTAACCATTCAGTTACTCAACCGAATACCC